ACTGTAAGGCCTGCGGGCACCAACTTCCATCATATAGAAACTGAATGTGAACGCTCACAGGTCTTAAGTACATGCGCTTATGTTCATAGGAAGTTGATGACACATGACAAGGATTGAATGTATAAAATGGCATTGTATTTGGAACAGGATAAAGTCAAAATTTGTACGATACACTGATATTTTATCATTTTTAAGTATATTCATGAAACATGGCCCTCATAAAAGCCTCAGGAACCTACATGATTCTTAAATATTGAAGCTGGGCAGGACTTGCTTAAGAATTGTTGTAAGTATTCTTCTTCAAGTGGCTGTATGTCACCACAAATGATAAGAGAATGAAGGGGTGCTCCCAAATCAGTCTCTGACATCTCTTTTAATGTTGCTGCAACGATCTGCTGAGATGGAGAACCCACACGGGCTAGGCCAACACACAAGGTGTTTTCAGAATATGCTGCAAATTCCAAGTTACAAATTTGTGCAGTCACAATAAAGTAAAGGCAGAAATAATTCATTGAAAATACTATAATTACCAAGGCTGAAATTCTGTTCTTTTTCTGATGACGTAACACAGTCAAGTCTTTCATTTTGGATAATTTTAAGAAGCTGTTGTGAAGCTTCACTGACAGACATGAAACGAGGTGGCATGTACTCCTTTTTCTTTTTAGTCATACTCTCTAGTGTAGGCTCTTTCACCTTGATATCTGTCACAATGTAAATATTTCAACAAAATTATTTTAAGAAAGATTAAGTTAGTGCAACAATATCTACCCACTGTAAAACTTTTTACCTAATAGACATAGAGTATGCAGACCTCTTGTACGATTTGACTTTATTTTGTGGTAAAAACTATCTGGTTGCCAAGTATCAGTCCAGTATGGTATGGATACTGTTTCTCCGTAACAGTACAACTACAGATACAACAGAGAGATAAGGGAAAAACTTGATACTCCCTAGTATAGTTGTCCCAGCAATACTTTGGTCTTCGGATCCCAAGGCAGCACCATTGCAGCTTAAGGGAGCCAAAGACCAAAGCATCGCTGGGACGACAATACATAATAACACTGATCACACAAATGAAACCTTATGTCATACCTGCAAACCACAGCAACCAACAGCATTCATGATTGAGGCATTGTGAACAATTTGATATGCTATCCCTTTCTGTTGAGCTCGTAAAATCAGGTCTGTATGGGTTGTTGCCCCAAATGGATCCCCAACAACAAGCAAAGCGACATCCTTCTCAGCTGCTTCTGCAAGAATGGAATCCGCATCTTGCTCTACACAGTCACGATCTGCTATTATCAACTCACGCCCATAAAATTCCTCCTACAAACAAAAAGATTACAGAAACATGAACACATTCCTTGGATCAGACAACTCATCATCAACAAATCACTTCCTGAAAGTACTTGATGTTAAAACACTCACCAGTGCTTCTTTACCAACAGTGAGGACTGATGTATAAGCCTCTAGATAAACCCGAGAACACTTTTTGATGATTTCAAGGCCTTTGACAGTGATGTCTTTGGCATCACCAAGGCCAAGACCGATCAAGAAGAACATGTCGTCGGTTAAATTTCCAGAGATACACTATAATCCTTTTGTTGTTGTGTTCACACTTGTGTTCTCCTTAGACATAATGTGGCATGTTTTTAATGCACAGGGCCCCTTAACCTCAGAACTATGCCCAACTAATACCAACTATACATCTAAAATTTGAAAACTAGGAACTTGGTACCGCCTCAAACGCTCCCAGGTAGATGTTGAAAGAAAAATCAACATATGAAAAGATAAACTTGTCCTGTCAAGTCAAAGTTATTTCCCCATTCGAGCATGTTTACAGAACCGAACGAAAACATTGGCAAGGTGGTCAGCGGGGTGAACGATGTCTCGCTCAGATCAGACTACCTAGAGGTACGAGTGGGTACCGGTTAACAGGTCAATTTGGGTTTCGGTTCAACATGGCGGCTTTGCCACCCAGAAAAAATACCACTCCCACAAAAATTTCTAAACAGCACTTGAGTCCTCTTCAAATTTTGTTGCAGATGGGATTCCCTAAGAACAGAGCGTAAGTCAATACTGCAGATGAAAATATACTCGAGCCGAAGCATCCTTCCCTAAATACCGACATGTTACTTTTGTAATTATTCGGCTTAACCTTATCGAACCGTGTAAACAAGTGGTGTTGTTTTTCCTTCCCAAAATACGTTGTGTACTTTATTAATTTTCCCTATGAGAGATTTGATTTATTTACTCTACATAAGCTATTGTGTCATTCATTATCTCTTCTTGTTTTGAAAACATGTCCTTGTCAATAAAGTAGGGTAATAGTTAATCAAGTTGTAAATAAACCTGTTTTCAGTGTTGTTAGTGTCATTGTAGACTTCCTTATTGTTGAACTTTGTAATTAATTTCGTCAGGGAGAAAGCATTGGCTGCCACGGGCTACAGAGGCGTTCAACTAGCATCAGATTGGCTTCTCGCTCATGTTAATGATCCGACTCTTGATGATAGTTCACCCCGAGAGTACATTCTGTATGCTTGCCCGACTGGGCCATTGCTTCAGCAGTTACAGATATTTTGGGAAAAATCATTAGCAGTTTGTGGTTGGAATGGAGCACACAACTTTATGCCCCACATCACATTGGTTTCTTTTTTTAAGGTAAAATTATTATTACTACAATTACTGTGCCATTCTTATGACCAATCTTGTCTTTCTTTGACCACTAATCTACTGCTTATTCTTCTTTCAGGCTCCAGATGAATCTTCTCAGCAGCTTGGTAAAGCCCTAAAGCAAGTGATTGATATGATGCAAGTGGATCTGGTGAAGAAATTAAAACTTGAACCCTATACCTCTCTTAATTTTATGGGATTCTTTGTTGCGGAGGAGCATGCAAACATGATCAAACATATTGCTAAGCAATATGTAAAAGAAGTTTCCTCTGCAAGTAAGTCCCCAAATTTCATTAAAAATTACCATGATTGAGGACGTTAAGTTTTGAGACAGTTTGTATTAGAGTTCTGTGTGAGTTCTTCCATGGAAAGAAAATGACAATGATTCATTTTCAGTTATTAATGAAAGTTATGGTCACCTGGAAGAAGCATTCACAGCTTGCTTTCCATGGTGCACAGCTGCTACAAGCAGTCACCTCCCTCGGGGACTGTTCGAATGTAAGCAGTCTGGCCTTAGCAAGCAATTGCTCCTACTGTCTATTGCGGACCTTTTATCAACTTTACTGCATTCCTTATTACCATACTTTTGGGCATGTAGTACACTACCAACTGGTAAACTTTCCTTTTATTGCTTCTGCTGAAAGGACAGTAACTTTATCTGAGAGAAGGTATAGAGATGTTAACCAAAAGGTTTTCTAGTTTTGTGTTTATTGTTGTATGACCACTCTTTTAGATTT